GCACCCGCTAGCTGTTCTACATCTTCTTATCATCTTCCTTACCAACGAAGACGCCCGCTCTCGCAGCCGATAGTTATTAAGCCACGTCCAGCGCTGACTACATCGCGATCACTCGGCGCCCTAAATACTCATTACGACCGCAAAACTAATACTTGGACGTCTTCTAGTGGCGAACCAGGACTTCTGTCTGAAAGTGAGGAGGCAGGTGGCCGGGAGGAGTTTGTCGACGAATATAATCGACTCGCAAAGAGGGTAGTGCATTCCGTCCAGTGTTCATCTTTCGACGGATGCTGACTGAAAGATTCTAGTACGGTATTCGGCTACTCGTGACTAGAGACTTCCCCGTAGACGCTGTAAGTGAGGTTGAACGTGTTATAATAAGATTAATTATAATGACAACAATAAGTCCGTTCCAACCCGGAGACCAAGTTGGCTTTCCAAAGCCCTACGGCGGACATCATCTGGTCAATCAACACAGACCGTAATCATCCGGTCTGAGCCACGACAGCTAAGGCATCGACGAAGCGTCAGCGATGTTGCTCTGAATCTTGTACACCACGTGAAAAAGGACGAATTGAAGGGCCAAACTCTTCAGGATTTAGTACGATTGTGTGGGAAGAGTATATTCTATTTACCTACAGAATATGCTCCGTGCTCTTTAGTATTACCTACGTGCTTCCGTGCGCTCGCCCAAGCTCTTGTACAACACGGTAGGAGGTTTGCAGTGATTGATATAAATCCTTCAGCTAATGCGTACTCACTACAGCTGATACAAGAGGGATTTTTCGGGTACCGGGCTCTGCTCGAGTTGCGAACATACTCTATGACTACTACTGCCCTGATAGGGACGCAAGGGACGCAAATGCCATCTCAATTACAACTCGCTGCCCGAATCTTCCTACACATATCAAATGTAGTGCGCATGATATCGCTTCCGCTTTCAAAAAATTTATAGCTGGGCTGCCCGGTGGCATTCTGGGCTCGTTGTCCCTTTTCGACGCCTTCGTTGCAATTCACAGTCAATTGCATGCTGATCCCGAGCTCACTAAGACCAGGGAAACCAAGCTTCGCGCACGGTTGATTGCACTCGCCATTTGGACCGTGAGATCACAGTATCAGAGAGAGCTGATATGTGCAGTGTTTGGCTTATTATGTTTCGTCGGCCGAGCTGCTGAAAATGCCCCCCGAGAAGATGAAGACGGGAGACCGCTTCCGACAGCCGACTTGATGGGATATAATGCTTTAAGCATAGTATTTGGCCCTCTCTTGGTCAATGATCTGATCGACTCTTACAGCATGAAATTGGCAGACCCTGCAGCTGGACTAATACTGCTCCCGGTGTCTGCTCCGAAGTCCCGAAAAGAGAGGCACAAGCAAAGAAAATCTAAATCTCGTGCTGAAGATTCGGCCTCTCTCTACACGGTGGACAAGGTATATGTCGCTAATAATATCACGGAAATGTTAATAGTGCATTGGAGGGAGGTGGTTCAGCAAATGCGGAGCCTGGGCACCCTGAAGATCAGCAGACATGAACATATCGCCCAACATAGGACGAATAGGGCCAAGTTAGGTTCCTCAGCCTCAGACTCATTCCCATTAAGAAGGCCACCTAAATGGAGTAGTCCTACACCATTGCATACGCAGAAAGACAGAAACGTTTCTCCTTTAGCTAGAAGTCCAACTCCATTACCTAGTAAGCAGAGACGCCAACTATTCATCGTGTGTCATATGCTAATTATCAGAAACAGAGGGTAGCTTAGTCAAGCCACGAGATACAATAGTGGATGAAGTTGAGCCTATATCTACCAAGAGACAGCGATCACGACCGTCCAGTTCTTGTACTTCATATAAAACCCAAAGCAGGATTTCAGAAAGCTGTCTCTCGCCTACAGCTGAAGAAAGTCCATCAGCTAGCCAATATGCAGTAAGTGATGAAGCAAGTGTAGGCCAAACGTCTCACCCAGCAATATCGTCTGCTGCACGAACTTCGCCCAGCGATAGTCTTGGGAGCGTATTGGAAAATCAAAGTTTGGACAGAGTGTCGGATGGCGGTGAGAGCGAGACTGGAGGCCGGACCAGGGAGCGGCCATTTCGTATTGATGTGCACGAGGATCCTTCGGTTCTCCACAGCCAAAGCTCATCAAGTCATATACTGTCCGGAAGCGAGTTAACCTTTCATAGCGTCAAGTCATCCATCGTCGAAATTAGCAACAATGAGGGATATTCGTCGCGACAAGGCTATGCCACACCAAGAGCCAAAGAGCTTGGCATACTTAAGAAATCGGCGTCAAAGAAAACAATAACCCCAGTCAGGTCGTCACTTTCAACCGAAGAGTACCATAGCAGTCACGCTGGAGATTATCTCTATACTTCGGCGCGGAATGTTGACTATTCCGAAAAGTGGAAAGCTTTAAGTCTAGCCAGTAAGACCAGCACGGAATCTCTAGCAAGAGCTGCAAAGGAAAGACGTTTAAGACGTAGTCCGGGCAATAGTGGCTTTCGACGGGGCGAGGAGCTGTCGATCCAACGAAACGAAATACCATCCACCCCAGAATGGAAACAGCAACTGATGGACACGCGAAGTGAAGGAAGACGGAAACCAGCTAAGCTTTCACCCGAGAAGAAAAGCGTATTCGAGAAAACTCCTCATTCTGAGCCCTTAAGAGAATCAGCTTTGCACAAACCAAGATTATCGCCAGGCGGAAGTGTTTTCGAGGGGGGAAGTAGGCCTATTTTATATCGTTCAAGCTCCAAACCGACGCAAGGTGCAGTGAAGGCCATGGCCGCGCTATTTGACAATACTATCAGTAATTCTCCTATTAGCACGGCAGCTATACTTCCCAGAAAAACCGGACATGACTCTAGCAGCGTACTATCTCCATATTCTATAAGCAACTCGCCATCGAAAACAGCTAGGTCTAAAAATACAGCAACAACCAGCACGCCGTCAAATACATTTGATGGTTCTAAAGGAGGATTTCAACTACCGGAGACACCAACGCGAAATCGAGAGTCGGGGTTATCAATAGATGACGGCATTTATGGCGTAGGTCTCTCGGGTGCAAATATTGGGAATACACCAACTAAATTTCCTGTTATTTCGCTACGTCCTATTGATAATACATTGGCCGCTTCGAAAAAAGCACCACTGGGTTCGACGACTCGGCTAGTTCCTACGCGCGATCGAGAGCTTAATCAGCCGCCGAGCTTAGGAACTATGGTTCCTCCCCTTGAGGAGCCTCCGATTGCTCAACACATCAATTTTACTCGACCATACCCATCCTCTCCCCCATCGTGTGATGAGAGCTATGGTAGAGCATCAACGGAGAGTCCTCGGCCCGGAAGTGGTAATTCGATGCTTCATGCTCAGATTCGCCACCTACAGAAGCATCTAGAGCACCGAGCGGAAGAAAACACTCAGCTACGGCGACAGTTGGAAGCCCGAGAAAACATGGATATCGGCAAGCTGTGCGAGCAGCTTAGGGCGGCAAGACGCGAGTCCAAAATGTGGAGAGAAAGAGCAGAAGCGGCGGAGAAGCGAGTCGCTGTCTTTAAGCAATTTACAGCGCGTGTTCGAGGGCTTCGCGAGACTGTTACTCTCGAAGATGCTGAGGGTGATATATCTGGCAAGGGACAAGTTGATGGGCCAAGTCAGCGTGGTGACGAACGGAAAGGATGGTGCAACACGTGCTACTCGGAAGTAACTGAAGAGCAGGAGGGGATTGAAGAACGAATACGCCAATATATGAAGAAGCAAGTCAGTCCAGAAACTAGGGATAAATCCTGTGTTAAGAACGGCGGGCTTTGGGGCGCTAGGGCACGAAATCAAGACGCACGGACGAATGCCTATGCCAACAGGACAGCGCAACTGTGGGATATTACCGATGAGTTATTAATGTTTGATGGTAATACGAAGCGCGAGGACTAAGAAAACATTTGGTGGGTGATGGAGGGGATGATAAGGGGGTTTTGTTATGCACTACGAGGGTAATGCTCAGTTAGTGTCGGTCACAATAGGATTGTAATAGATGAGAAGCTGTAAGAGATTCGTCAGTATTGCTTGCTCTCAACGAGGTTCTCAACGAGATGCTACCGTCTGAATAGATAGTACTCGGTAAATAGAATATGGGGAAATATGGTTGGTACCGTTCTTGTTTCTCATGATTCTTTTCATCAATCTTTTGTGTACTTGATCTTGACATCGGCGAGGGTTGTCTTGAAAAAAAAAAGAAAAAAAAAAGGAAAAAAAAGGGGGGGCCTCGTAGATGTTCTTGTTTAAACAATTTCTTTAACAACTAGTGTTAACTAATTGGTAATAGTTAAGCCTTAGACCAAGGTCTGTTATGGGATATACCATGGTGGTGGTTTTTATAGTTTCAACCTGTATAAGCCGTAGATAGCTACCTACCTATCTACCTGTATATCTACCGGCATGTATATGAATACAATACCTTCTAAGGAAGGATTCCGATTGGTTATAGCGAAGAGGTATTTACGCCCGATGCTTACTCAATCCTCTTTATTCGTTTAGTATACTACATGAGGTATGTATGAGCTACTCCCAGCTGCTTACTCTGCCTTTGTCTATTCACTTACCTGCCTATCGCGTCAAGGTGCATGCAGGCTTGTACAGCATAGTAGGTGGATATTTATTGGTAAACTTCAAGGCCTAGATTCTTCCATCAGATATATTAAGTAGGTAGTTAATTACATAAAAGTAGCAAATGCTCTTGAGTTGTCATATGAATGGCCTTAGCTCCAACGGTCGCTGAAAACATTAGGTACATCTATGCATAGGGAGTACTTTGGCATCAAGTATATATAATGAGTGTTTAATGCAAGATTATACATTTTATTGAGGTACTGGAGGTTAGATCCGGGAAAGGATAGACATACATAGGTAGGTACTTCTATCTGGCGTGAATTGGTCGCGATTCCCCAGATTACCTATCGGGAAATAGAGTACTTGGACCGGGGTCTGAGTTTCTCCTTCCAAGTTGTCGTAGCTTTTTAGCTTTACCTTAGGTACCTCCTATGTACATGTACCCATAGTGGACCTACATTAGGTACGTACAACCTTGGGTTCAATGTTGCTTTAACAACTTTCTTTTCAACACCACATATTCACCAAATACTCACCACATACTCACAACATATTAATCCATGCCATGAGATGACAGAGCATTGAAAATTATACTGCTCAGGGTATTCTTCAACCTCTCCTACCGACGACTTTGCAAAGTTGAAGGTCTGAACATATTATCTAGATGCGCACGGCTGAAGATGATTGGCCCCTGGCGTTCATCACTACGACATCGCTACTGTGCTAACACACCGTATCTACCTGAGTCTAGCCGACCTTATCCATATCAAACATCATGACGCGACGGATAGTAAGTTGCCTCTAAAGGAACTGCTCACCGCATGTCTGTCTAGCTACCTGGTATCCGTCGAGAAGGCTAACGATACCGGCTTTGACTAGGTGCGCACCATAACCCAGCTCGCTGCTGCCGCCGTATTCGCATTCTTCGTCATTTTCCTCTTAGATCGAAATTTCCGACTTCTACCTAATTCCGTCCATGAATACATGCCCCAGCACCATCATGGCCAAGTCGTCACTGATATAACAATTACACAATGCTCTAAAGTTAACCTGTTTTCATCCTGCAGGCTCGATCCTGAATCATGGCATCGGGTCGAGAAGAACCTCTATTTGGACAAATCGTGGATCTCCAAGGCCTACATTCATGTCCAGAGAAAGAAAGAGGAGGAGCTGAAAGCGGAAGACAAGGTGGTCGTGGGTGTCACGGTGGGCCGACTAGACCCTTCGACGGGAGCCAAGGGGCAGACGGGTGAAAAGTGGGAGTCTCGTCCAGCGGGCCTATGGGTACTACGGTCATCCAAGCCGACAGCGAGCGATTCTAAGACAGCTGTTACCGCGATAGATGTTCTCTTCGGCGACGACGCTGTCGAGGTTCGAGACGGGTGGCAGTTCCAGAATACGCCCTTGTTATTTGACGTCGGGCCAGATATACCGAGTGCCCATATCACCGTTCGACAGGGAGGTCCGGTCGAGCCTATAAAACCTCAACCACGAGTGAGGGACAATGGAAAATTCAAGATAATGCAGCTGGCAGATCTTCATTTGAGCACGGGCGTTGGTCATTGCAGAGATGCGGTTCCGGACGAGTATGAAGGTGGACCTTGCCTGGCAGATCTGCGGACTCTAGATTTTGTATCCAGGCTGCTGGACGAGGAAAAACCTGATCTAGTTGTCCTTAGCGGTGACCAGGTGAATGGTGATACCGCTCCCGATGCGCAGTCGGCCATCTTTAAATATGCGCAATTACTCATCAAGCGCAAGATCCCCTACGTATCCATCTTCGGTAACCATGACGATGAAGGGTCGCTACCTAGAGCTGGGCAGATGGCGCTGATTGAACAATTACCGTACTCATTGTCTGTCGCCGGACCAGACGATATTGACGGGGTTGGTAACTACTTTATCGAGGTCCTTGCCCAAGGGAGCTCGAAGCATTCCGCTCTTACGGTATACTTGCTTGATTCCCACTCATATTCTCCGGATGAGCGGCAATGGAGCGGCTACGACTGGATCAAAAAGAACCAAATCGATTGGTTTAGACAGACTTCGGAGAGCCTGAAGAAGAAGCATAAGGAGTATACTCATATCCATATGGATATCGCCTTTATCCACATTCCTCTTCCGGAATACAGGGATCAGGAATCGCAGTATGTAGGCGAATTAAGGGAAGGTGTCACGGCCCCCAAGTTCAACTCCGGATTCCGCGATGCCTTGGTTGAGCAAGGCGTCGTCATGGTTAGTTGTGGACAGTATGTATTTCTCCATACCCCCTTTTTCTACTACAGACTAATGTTTGATCCTTTAGCGACCATGCAAATGAGTATTGCATGCTATCATCCAATAAGGAGACAAAGAGGCCCGAGCTGTGGATGTGTTATGGTGGCGGTGCCGGATTTGGAGGATACGGCGGCTATGGCGACTTCGTCCGCCGGGTTCGTTTCTTCGACATCGACATGAACGAAGCCCGAATCACAACTTACAAGAGACTCGAATACGGCGATACCGTAGCTCGTATCGATGAACAAATCATCGTCGACGGAGGCAGTGTCGTACCGCCCAAGGATCAGAGCTGAGCACACAAATCATGGGAGGATTTCGGAATTTCAAGTTTAACTTCACGACGTGACGCTATCTCACTCTACGCGCTCTTCGCACAACGGAGAGCTTGGATGGCTACTAATCCACGATTTTGGACTATTTTGGATCGGGACGGTATTCTACAACGTAGCGACGGCGATGACTCTACGTCGGCGCAAGAAAAAGAAAAGGGATGCACAGGGCGTTTTGGTGCGACGATAGAGATGGTCGGTAGGCAGGCTATAGTGTTCGGATAGTTCGTGTATTATACGAGACAAGGCGGACGGGTAGCGTATATAACGAGCGGACATCAAAATTAACGGTTGCGGATTTCTACTCCTACGTCTTGGTAAAGTGCTCTCTGGCCTAAGCGCATACATTCGCCCCCTCTCCTGATCAGATATCAAGGCTCGTGGTTAACGCAAATATAGCAACATAGCAAAAAAGCCACGGCGCCATGGTGCGGTAATGATATGCTAACATATAAGTAGTCCTAGAAGGGGGCCTGTGTATTCTATGAGAACATTTCACATCAAATCCTAATGTCAACATACTAAAAGTAAAGGTTTGAACTACATCAAGGGCAAGCAATTTCTAATGACTTCTAACCTAGGTAGCTTTACTTTAAGTATAACCAGGTAGTGATATATAACAAGCAAGCAAACAAACAGGCAGGCAGGCAGACACGGAAGAACTGTATAAGTAAAAGGGGCTTATGTGTGAGATGAGATTTTCATTATCAGTTCCTAGGTGCCTTGGCTATCTGGCAGAGACACGTTGTTTCTGTCTCTTGCTATGGGCGTAGGTGGACTGACTGACTGGCTGGCTGGCTGGTCGGCTACTCTAGGTAACAGTAAGGAAATAAACTGCCGACTGCTGGGTGTTGTTGGAGGGTGATAGGAGAGCGGTTCTTAGTCGTACTTGTGGATCTTTTTTCTTCTTTTTCTTCTCTCTCTCTCTCTCTCTCTCTCTCTCTCTCTCTCTCTCTCTCTCTCTCTCTCTGGATGAGTGAGAACCGTGTTAGTATCCCGTGGTGACGGGTGTAAGTACCTAAGTAAGCAAGGCACGACTAACCTTTTGCCCATCTCATCACCTCTCACGCCCTCCCCCCCTCCTTTCCCACCTGCTCACTCTTCTCCTCCTCCCGTCCAATACTCGACATCGCCAACCGCGTTCTCGATGCCCCTGCGCCGCACGCGCAGGCGCACAAACCGCACCGCGAACAGCCGGCAAGGCAGGTCCTCCATCTCGTCCGAGACGCCCTCGGCCGCCACCACCTTGAGCGAGTCCCAGAACTCGTCGTCGGACGGGTCCAGGCTGTCGGCGTCGCGGCACGGGAACGAGTACACGGGCTCGGGTGTCGGAGCCGGAGCTGTCGCTGCTCGGCTGGATGGATCTGTAGTTGATGGTGCTGGTGCGGGAGAAGATGGCGCGGCCTGTTGGGGGGGGGGGGGGGGGGGGGGGGGGGGGGGGGGTGGGGGGGGCGGGGGGGGGGGGGGGGGGGGGGGGGGGGGGGGGGGGGGGTTGCTGGGTTGCTGGGAGGTCGACATCGTGGCGGGTTGTAACAATGGGGGCTTGATGCGAGGTTCTTGAAAGAAAGAAAGAAATAAAGAAAGGGGTAACTAGTGAAAGGGGTATGTATGTATGTATGTCTTGGGAACGATGACTACCTATCTATCTGGCTTTTGCCTTTTACCTTGGTCTGGTATCAAGGAACAAGACAGACGCCGAACCCTCTTCTTAGCCGACGGTGAGTGAGAATGCCCCCTATTCCCTATTCAATGAGGTCTAGACTCTTATGGATTGTTCGTTGAATAATTGTTTGTATTTCTCAAGTCACAATAAGCCTAACTAGATAGGTAGGTAGTCATTCTCAAAACCTCGAGGTGTCTGACCTATCTAAGGCCCAAGGGTAATAATAAGTAATACTTAACCCTCTTTGTGAAAAGCAACTCAAGACATACCTGATGCTATCACGAATAGGCGGTATCCAATGTATTTCGTGTAGGCGTGACATCCATAACACTTATAAACCTAATTCTACTATCTATCCCCCGCGTGTTCCCGCCCCGGCTCCTCCCGTGCTTGGGAGCCAAGGCTGACGCCCAGTCATTTACAGGGGCTAGCTATTTCATGCAACTAATTTAGTTTCGACGTCAATTTCTAACAAGATCCTTATTAAACATCTCCAGTACATATTATAAAGGCGCTTATTATATTTATTCCGACAACCACAACTTATATATCATAGAGAAAGGATGTGTGTTATCCAACTCCAAGCTATCTATAAGTAATTATGCTATTCTAGGGAGATGTTAGGTGCTTATATTACCTCCAAATCACTTGAAATCACTTGAGGCAACGGATCGATGATCAAGTCTTTCGTTTGGTTTCACTAATTTATTTATTCTAATTGGTGCTGAACGCTTCCAAGGTAGTCTAAGAAACTCTCGAGCGGCGGAGGCTCGAACGAACCACCGCTCCCTCTATCTACCCACAATAACCAGTGTCTATGAGTTCCTTCATCCCAAGAGTATTTCCCTACGAACTTGTCATATATAACACCGTTATAGGTTTGAGGATATATATCTAAGGCAGTTATGGGGTTGTTGGTATTGCGTTTAAGCACCGAAGACCTTGAGGCGGTCCTCGATGGGGAGCTGGTCCTTGGGGCCGGGCTCGCCGGCGCGACCGCCGAAGACGAGCTGGGCGTTGAGCTGCCAGTTGGCGGGGATGCCCCATTCGCTAGCGACCTTGGTGTCGATCAGAGGGTTGTAGTGCTGAAGGTTAGCACCGAGACCCTCGGCGGTGAAAGCGGTCCAGATGGCGAATTGGATCATGGCGTCCGACTGTAGCGCCCAGATGGGGAACTTGTCGCTGTATAGAGAGAACTGGGCCTGCATCTTGGAAACGACCTCCTGGTCCTCGAAGAATAGGACCTGTTTGTATTGTTAGTAACTCCCATAACTCCCGTCATGCTAACAGATTGGACGACGCCAAGAAGTGAGAGACTTACGGTTCCGGCACCAGCCTTGAATCCGCTCATACGTTGAGCCGTGTGTTCCCAGGCGTCAGCGGGGACGATGGGCTTGAGGATCTCGGTGGTGAGATCCCACAGCTTGTCGTGGTCGGCGCCGAAGAGAACGACAACGCGGTTGGACTGCGAGTTGAAAGATGAGGGGACCTCGAAGATGCTCTGCTTGACAATCTCCTCGATGCGCTCCTTGGAGATGGGTAGCTCCTTGTTAAGAGCGTAGTAGGTGCGGCGGTTCTTGATGAGGTCCAGGAAGGACTCGGCCTTAACAGGAGCGGCCATCTTAGGGGTAGTACTGAAGCGTGCCGAAGGTGTGTGGGTGTTTTTGGCTTGGGACTTGGGAGGTTGGCACTGGGAGGCGCTGGAGGTGAACAATGATCTCTGGGAACAAGTTGCTGCGAGAGTCTTGAGGGCTAGACTTGATGTTTTAGGTGTGGTGGCCGAGGTTGTGCTGAGTCTGGAGAAGGATAAAACTGCTGAGGTGACAATATGCGGGCGCATCGTGGTCTATTTATCTATTTATTATAAGGGAGAGTGGCTTCCCTACTCCCTACTTATATGTTTTGGGTAAGTGCTTTAGGTAAGTGCTTCAGGTAAGTGCTTCAGGCCAATATATGTTATGCTAATGATCTAAAACAGCAAGTCCGAGGCGTGCTAATGTGCTCCAATGTGCTAATTGACGTATGATGTGCTAATAGATACTAATGGAATGTACTAAAGGTCAAACGGCTGCATGAACAAAGAGGAAGGAAGTGTCCAGAAGCAACGCTATGGTGCTCCCAATATGTATATCCCTACCTCCTACCTCCTTAGCATGTGTCGAATGCCCCGCCGACGCAATCGAAATCCTATCACATAGTAAAAAAATCGACAGAGGGGTAGAGGTACATCCAATGTTGCTTACAAGGGTGTGAGGTATGGTACAATACATGTACATGCTATTGTATTACACACTATTGTATTACACACCACAGCATGTCAGATCGACCCCGCCAGAATTGGTTATTTCTACTTGATATTGCTGATTGCTCGAGGGAATGTTGGTATCAAATTGATGAGGTATAATCATGGGAAGGATAAAGTATACTTTGAGATATAACGTCAGTTAACTACCTAACCTAGGTAGTTACCTGTTAACTATAACTGCCTTTTATTATCTTATCGAGTATAACACCAAGAAAAGAGATAAACAAAAAATATGGTTAATGAATTTCTATGTAGGTATTTTACGAATCTACCAATAGGTATCCACTTCGGACATGCCTACATAGGTAAAATCCTTACTACGAATTTGTAGGTACTTACCCGTAGGAATTGTATTGTACTTAAGGTATGTATCGATGTAGTGTAGGTAGTGTATGTAGTGTAGCGTAGCGCATATAAGTGGGCGTTCGGTAGGCGCTGCGGGGTGGGGCCAACCTGCTGATGATACAAGACCGAACCCGAACTATCTCTGCTTACACATCTATTCATAATATTCTCTCACTGGTCTCGCTTTGATTTCCAAATCATTTGAAATCCATTTCTAACAAAGCTAGAGTCCTTTTAGAGTCAAGCACCGCCCATTTTCGAATCCATGCATCCCAGCCTCTTGTCTTCCCCTGTTGTTTGATTCGACAACAAATCGCGGTGCTGCGGATTTATTTTGTCCCATCTCATTTCTAGCAAAACTTACTACTCCCCCCCTCTTTTTATTTGTTTGCTTCCGTTCTTTTCTTAGTAAAGTGTGAGGCTCTTTTCTTATAATGTGCTGCAGCCAAAAAAAAAAAGAAAGGAAAAAAAACAATGTTTCACCTGATTTTACCCCGCGCTTCATTTAAAGTCGATTATTAGCCGCCTTCGCGCGTTCGGCACTCGCTTAACGTCGCAACTTGTGTAAGACATTGGCTATCGGCGCTTAATTCCATACTACTCAGCTTGTTTTATCTCCATTGCTCCTGTCGCTAAGGTAATATATTCTTAATATCTGCTAGGCCCCGTCGGCGTCTCGGCGGTGCGTGCGGCCGCAAACATCGTGGTCTAAGTACGATTCATGCGGCAGTGTTGTTAACCCATAGGCACACGATTCGGCATTGACACGCCAAAGCACAAATGTATTTTCTGTAATACGGCCCGTATATTAACACAACATAGTACCTGGTTAATATACACCTTGAAGATTGCCGCTTACTTAGCCGAGCAATCACTTTTGAAGAGCCTATCCGAGATGCATCAGCATGTCAGGAGGCTTCTTTTTAAACGCCTAATCGCGGCGTGTCAGGAAGCACAGCAACCCCACGTCCAACGGCATGGCACGAGACATAACCGGTTTCCGAATCGGGTAATTTTCCTTGCCTCTGACCTATCCCACGCCGAGTTGGCTCTTACTAATACCCGCTGTGCATTGAAGCTCTTATGAGGCTACACATCGATCGAATCGTGACAAGTTGAATGTTCCTAGTTACTCGGTATCGTGATTCATTCATATTTATTTATATACCTAGTTCGACTCTATGTACAGTTTAATTCTCCACGGGCCAAAAAAAACGTATCGTGTAAAGCATCGCTTTATCTTGCAGCTTTTACCTACATATCGAGGTCCTAGCATCCTCTCATGCAGACTCCCAAGCCGCCAAGCTGTCAACTAGTAAAGAAATGCCCTCCATGTAAATCGAACCTGACCAACCCAGTCTTGCCCAGCTTGCGCAAACGCCCAGCCTCTAGGCATTTTATAACACCGCATGCTATGAACAATAAAAACAGACTTTTGTAGACCTCCAGATTTTATGGGACCTCCCGAGCGACCATAAGTCTATCCCTATTATAAGCTCATCCCCCCCCAAGTCTACCAATAGAGCCAATGGAGTCATTGTCATTACCACGTCTCGGTAATGTACTGTCCGACGTCTCTCTTCAACTCCCAGAATTTCTTTGCCTCGTCATACTTCAAGTTGCCCTTCTTCACGGCCACTTTAATAAGCGCCTCCTCGACACCTTCGCCCATGCCCTTGGAGCTACCGCAAACGAAGACGCGTCCGTCAACCGAGTTGATGATGGACCATACAAGATCTGCTTGGTGGCTGACCTCATCCTGGACGTAACGACTCTCGCCGCGTCGGCTCTGTACAACCTTCTTCACTCTATCCTCGTGGACACCCCACTCCCCACCGTATAGCTCATCCACGAGAGAATCTCGGACGCCCTGAAGTACCCATACCTTGTTGGCACAGTTAGCATTCTTTAGGCGGTGCTGAACAAAGCCGCGGAACGGCGCGATGCCGACGCCAGCCCCAATAAGGAGCATCGGACCATCAGACACGAATTCCTTGGCTAGCGGGTTCGCCATAAGCCCCTTGAACATCGGGACGTACAGCTGAGGAGCGCTTTCCCCTGCGCGTTGGAGCTCCAAAAATTTGCGGCATTGGCGTTCGAAGAAGCCAGAACCGACACCCGTTCGGTAGCCCGCCCGCCAGTCAGGCGTCTCTTGAATGGTGACGGCTAACTCAATAAGGCGGTGCTGCTTTCCATCACGAATCCCATAGGACTCATGGGGGTCATTAGAAAGGGAGTAAAATCGTGGCATCAACTGCTGGAGCACCGAGAACAACAAATCTAGAGGTGGCTTAGCAGAAGGAAAAGCACTCAAAATCTGAGCAAGAGAGATGTGCGGGCCAGTACGGAAGTCGCAAAAGACTCCCTGTCCCTGGCCCGAGCAGAGGAACATGAGGATCTTCTTCTCGTTGGGGTCGAGAGCGTGCTCAGCTAGAACTCGCAAAAGAGACTTGGTGGGTGGGTAGGACTGGATATCGGAGCACCACGTAAGCAAATCCCGCCGGGTGGTAACCAACTCGCGGGCCTGATCCTCGCCCCAGACAGTGGGCCATCGGCCACGAGTAGTACGTAGCAGGACGGGCTTATCCCGCAAGTAACGCGGAACTAAAAGCAAGTCGAAAACCTGATCCACAGCAGCCGTATCGTTTGGCGCAGAGACACCAATGGCACCTCCGACCTTGAAGTCTACGCCTTCTCCGTGGGGATAGTCGGTAATGTCAAGATCGAAGTGATACGTGCGTTTCTCGGCTCCAGGCCGCGTCAATTTACGGGTGCTGTGAATTTTGGCAGGGAAGACATTGAAAGGATGGTGCGGCTGGACGAAGGAAGGGGGTTGTATCGAAGTATCGAGATTCTCGAGGCTGAGGTTTTGGAGTTTGGTCTCGATGGTGGGAGAGTTGGCTTGGCTGCTGAAAGACACAGCCGAGTCGGTTGGCGATGGAGGGCCCGAGACACGTCGAATGGACTGAAGGAAAGTGATCTGCTCCGGCATGTCCGCAACCTTAATTAAGACAGTAGGTATCTCATCAATCTTCAAGCCCAAAGAGCGAAAGGCATCATTGTCGGGAAGCGGGACTCGTTCGTACTCGATTCCCTGCTCTTTGTTCTGTGCATTCATGCAACAACCGCCACCACAGCATCGATTAAGCAATTGCTGTGTAGATTCGCCTGTGATTCTCTGCACGTCTGCCGGGCTCTGCGCAATTAGTCTGGTCGAGGCACGCCGCCTTCGGGGAGGCTCCTCTGGTACCTGAAGCTCATCTTGATCTTCAGAGTCCTCAGAATACGTAAGAGACGGCGCAATAGAAGGAGCGCGAATCTCCTCCTCGGACACGTAGTCGGACGTCGAGTCGACTAGCTGTTCGACTCCAACCGACATAGTCACCGAATTATATCAATCCCGTAAAGCTTTTCCAAGAGGACTACCCGTCGATTAAATTGGCTGCAACCAGAGGAAAAAGCACAATTATGACAGATAGAACTAACTATCTTGATGTCGTTTGTTGTTTGTCGGTAAATTGTTTAGTGGGGGAGGGGTTAATTGGAGATGATCGTCTTTTTTTCTTTCTTTTCCTCTTTACGCGTCGTGTTTGCCGAGGAATTATCGACGTCCGTTCTTTTGGAGAATATTTTTTAGGGTGTCTCTCAAAGCAAGTGGAAGACGTGGAGGCTCCCAGAGGTGTGGTGATATTTAAATGCACCACGAGGAACAGAAAAGTCACCTTCTGTTTTATAATTATATCGAGGTTGGTAGCCAACCAGATTAACAATGTGAATAGCGAACAGCAAACAGTAGGAAAAGACAGACTCGTAATCGAACCGTGAAAAGGGGTAGAAAAGGAGAGTTGTACGATAATATCGTGACACTAAATATCGTGACACTAATAAGGTCGTTTGTGAAATTAGACCGGTTAGTAAGTAAATTTCTTTAGAAGGCGTCGATCTGTGATATTTCAATCTTTTTGTTGAAGTGGTAATGACAGGGGGGATCCCAAGGGGAAAGAAGGGGCAAAAGCGGAAAACCCTATCAGATGGTCAGATTGGCACCTGCAGCAATTAAAGGTGGGACGGTAAATGCTGTATGTAAATGCTAGGTTATAAGCTCTTGCCGATTGCTTGTTAATAGAGCTGCCAAGATGGCCGGGCTTCTTTGATACTGTGTACTTAGCTTAGTACTTTGCGAAGTCGCACAAGCTGACAGACTAACAGGATAAACCTGTCAGACTCCAGTGTCACTGTCAATTGTTTACCTGTTTATCTGTCTATCGGTCTATCAATTGCTAATTCGCGGTAGGCTTTGCCCTGTGAGTTACCAAGTTAAATACATATTGATAATACATGTAGGTTAGTTACTTGTTTGTAGGTACCTAAACTATCTGTTATTCTTATGTCAGGTTATGCCTTCGTATTCTATTGCTTATTTGTCTATTATCCATTATCACTAATCTACCCAGCTGCCCAGCTATCTACCTCGGGTATTACTTACCAATCATGCCTAAACCTTCCCTCCTTGTTGGGTTGACATGCTTACATAGCGTCACGATGGCGACGACGAACAACGATAAATGATAGGAGAGGGGGGAATGGTATAGCGGCAATGCTCACCAACTTCTTTTTCTCGCGGCAGTATGATGTCTTGCTCTCTCGCTCAATTATTAAAGCAATTAGGTACTTTTCTGGTTGGTTCGTCGAGAATTGCACAATATTTCATCACTTGATCATCTGGCTCAATGGCATTGGTCTGAATCTGCTGCTGCCCGCTACCCCGGATCGTCTTCCTCCAAAAAATCGGGGCCTTCTTACACCGAAATATGCGAAATATGCGAATACGGTGTTATGATTCGACATGATCTAGCCTATATATGTAGTTTTCTTCCTCGGCTGCAATCCAAGCCAAAATAAGTGTAACACTGGCTGAGAGGCTTGGTGGAGTTTGGCAATTGAACCCGACGGGGCCTACGGGCGCACTCACTCTGCCGACTGAAAACAGCTTCTCCGTGCCAAGTACATACATTAGGTACATACATATGTACCTACATACGATACTAACCTGTTATGGTGTATGTACCTAGTCACGTAATCTCGTAATCCTGGACAATGTTTTTCTCTTTCGATGGATGCTTTAAATAGGTGCAACTAAATATCGCCAAGTTATATTAATTGACATATAGGAAACCGCTAACGCTTCTCTATAAATCGGTGAAACGATGCAATTGCAAACAGTGACGATAGGTATTTACATTTTGATCTATTAATATAATGGGGCTGTTGCACAGTCCTGCGTTTACACGGTTCTGGAAGCACAGTGCCTTTTTACTGTGAGATAACCGATACAAGCGATATGGGGAGCACAACATTGCCCAGGCGCTTTGAAGGATTGGGGGATCGGGGGATCGGGGGATCGGGCGGGCAGTAATCTAATCAATCAAACAACTAACCACAGCACAGAGCACAAACTCTTTATCAATCTGATCTACGTGTCTTGCCGATATCGGATTTTACAGTTGACGTAATCCACTTTTTCTTCTTTTTCTAATGATTAAGGTTAGGTTAGTATGTAATGTCTTAAGCAGCTTCGATCAGATAAGAATTACCTCATATCCAATTCCCCGGAAATGAAGCCAAGTACCGAGAAAGAAAAAAAAATACTCCGTTAGGTAGTCATACCTAGGACCCGGCACTTGACCTGGGTTCGCATTGAGGCTCAATACATATAATCAATTAATCGATAGCGTCTTTTCAGGTGAGACGACATGATCGCTTTGCTCCGTTTCGAAACGTTCCATCTATCGTACCATGCCCCTGGATTCGCCCACTGTTTCTACACCGCGAGTCGAGGCCGAGGCTGACATGGAAACTTCGATATTCCGCGTTTTTTCTTTTCTTTTTTCCTTTGCATTTCTCGCTTAATGAAAATATCCCTGGCCTCAACAATTCCGGATGCATTGGCTGCCGGTCACGCCACGACTGAGCACTGCAGTTGCAACATGCATAACCTCATATCATAAGCCTGACGAGAAATCCACTTGTCAGCCCTGTCCCAATCATCGGGGGACTTTTGATCTGATAAGATTCCCGCAGATCATTGGCAAGCGTGTGTATTTGCTTTGGGAAACGCTTCATCGTCCACCATGTGGCATTGCTCCATACCTATACATCACAACCGTAGTAGCTAAACTGGAGAATTTGTTTTCTCGAAGAAGAGTCCTAAGCCACTGGTTCTATTTGTATGACGCTAGAATCATGACGAAGCTTACATTCGTATATCCCCAACTAAACCCTCAGGCTAGCAGACGCCCGTTCACATGCCTCGAAGTCGTAGAAGTCGACCCAAAATGTTGGTTCATTATCTACCGGTAGAACGGAACATAATTCTATGTGCAACAAGGTCCTATGCTTTTTCGGGGCCTTAACACGGTGCTCATACCTGGGTTAATTCGTATACCCCGATGCACTAGGTGGTCTATTTTCGAAGGGAAAGGGGCTTGTCCCTATATTCTTGCACTATCGAAATAATTTACAGTTTACAGGACTACCTATCCACGGTTGTAGAGGTTTTTTGACTTGGACGAGTCCAAGTATTAATGGCCGATATGCCTAAATGGAATTAGACCAGTTATGAGATGTCATCTCGTCTAACTTTCGGTGTCTATTACAGGTAGGCTTACAGGTAGATATTCTATCTACATTGCGTCACTCCCTTTTTGAGAGTCCCAGGACAACTGCCTCAGGTATGGGCATACGCCAGTTTAAGTATGTCTTCGGTATGCCCGAGTCTTGCGAGTTATCGATGGGTTTGGGTCTGAGAGGAGAGACCTAACCTAGTGACGTTGTCGCTTGCGCGTTCAGGTTATCTCACAAAGTTTAAATGTTTATATGTCAGCATCTCTTAATATTTGCGTGTCATAGCTGGATTCTATGGTTGCAATCATTATTCTAATAATGGCGAAGAACCGGATTCAAGTTGCAATTGTAGGAGGCGGTATTGCTGGCCTTGCCCTCGCAGCGGGCTTGGTTAAGAAACGGCATATTGATGTTCATGTCTATGAGTCGGTCTCGGCTTACAAAGATATTGGTGCGGGCCTGGCCCTTCATCTTAATGCCATTAAGGCAATGGCACTTATCGGACCTGAAGTAAGACAGGCGTACTCTGATATGGCTCTGTCTATGGGCGACGAGGATCAAGAGATGGCAACCGAGGTAATCCTAGGACAGGGGCCACATAAAGGCCAGCTGGTAGCGGAACTTGGTAGGGCGAAGGGAAGAAAGACAGTCAGTCGAGCTGATTTACTGGAGGGCTTTCTAGCACTAATTCCAAAGGAAACCATCAGCTTTGGTAAGAAACTCGTCGATGTTAAAGAGCGAGTCTCTAGCAAGCCTAATGTCCACCTGACCTTCCAAGACGGAACCGAGGTCGAGGTTGATTGTCTCCTAGGGGCAGACGGAGTACACAGTGTGACCCGTAGCTACCTTCTCGGGGCAGACCATCCCGCTACGTCGCCCAAAAACCACGACGGGTGGCAGATCTACCGGACTATGGTGCCGACTGATGAGGCGAGGAAGCAGATTAACCCCAAGTGGACCACGAATGTTCCCATTATCCTCGGACCAAGAGGCCACATCAACTGCATCCCATTAAATAAGAACACACGTCTGAGCGCCGGCGTCGCTGTGCGTGGTGCCTTCTTCTCGACGATCGACGGCCGTGCCCCACCGCTCGACCCAGCCTTGTACGCCGACTACAGCGAAGAGGCCCAGCAGATAGTGCAGATGGTAGCCAAGGACACAAGTTCATCCTGGACGATAGCAGACCATGACCACGCGCCATACTACGCGCGAGGCCGTGTCGCTATGCTCGGCGACGCAGCGCACACCTCGATGCCGTTCGCCGGCAATGGTGCAGCCCAAGCTCTCGAAGACGCGGCCGTGCTCGATTACCTCCTCGCTCACGTCGAGCGTCCGGGGCAGGTCGAGCATGCTCTTCGAGCCTTCGACGAAGTTCGGAGGCCGCGGAGCCAGGCGGTTGTGGATCTCGCGCGCAAGTTTGGACGGGTGTATGCGTATGCTGAGGACGGCATGCACGGGGATCCGGCGAGGATGATGAAGTTTTTTAGCGAGATGGCGGCTTTTACGAACGAGTTTGATGTTAAGGGGCAGAATGAGGCGGCCCTAAAGGCGTTTGTGAGATTGGATATGGCTAATGGGGAGACCGGTGGGAGGACGAACGGAGTTCTGAAGAACTAAGACTTGTTACAGGGAGGTAAGGTTATTGACACTAGACATTCTTTCATGATTTATTTGGTTCTAAGCAACATAGGCTTTTACAATATATTCAAATATGCAAGGTCTTGTCGTCGCCCTCTTACCTTATGGTGAGATAGGTAATTGTAATGATACATACAAACATAAGAAAGCTTAGGAGTACATAGAACTGCCATCTATCTAGACGCATGTTCGATGTGTTCTAATTATGATACTACCTACTTATATGAGCACCAGTATAGAAAGGAACCTAAGGTATGTCTAATATATTGTTCATGTTAAAAAGAAGTATTATCTCATTTGGGTACCTAGAGAGTGTCGAGTAGTATAATTGTTCTCCTTTTTCTACATCAAAGTAGCCCTAGAACATGGGCGGAAAACAAACTAGAATTCCCGAATAATACCAGGTAGTCGTACAATGCATAGGTAATGAACAATATCTCTAATGACCAGCATGTTCATTTTTTTTATCTAACCATATATCTAAATGTTCCAATGCTCTATTATTTTTTATACAACTCGACACGATATACGAATAAGCTACACACACACACACACACATAT